TCACCGATAACTTTGGTTTACAGGTACCGGAGGCATTGGTGGTAAAGAGGACGGTGATGCGCTCCTTCTGCAACTTCCGACCCCGAACCTTGCTGGCAGACTGGACAACAAAGGTCTTGGTAGGCAGCTTTTTCCAAAATAGGCCGGATTCGTCCATGTTGAACACCTGGTCGTCAGTGAACCGCCCTTCCTCCATAACCTCACGTAAGAGCGTAGGAAAATCTCTAGCCGCCACACGGTCAGCACTCGCTTCTTCACCACCAATGTTGATGTTGGTGATATTGTTCCTCCTCTTAAACCTATGCAGCCAACCAGAGGAAGCATTGAAGGGTTTGGGCTCTGCAGTTCCCATCTTACGTGACACTGCTGCGTACAGTTCACGTGCGTACTCTTGAACGGATCGCGTGTCCACCGCCATGTTGCGTCGCGCCTGACGAATCAAGTAACTCACCAGCAAATTTTCCACCTTTAGCAGCACCTTGTTCTGGCAATACTTGATCATTGAGGCACCTGCAGACTTTGTGATTCTCATGTGCTCTTTGATCTTGGCTGCATCCTTCTTAATAGTACGAATCGTAGATTCGTTGACTCCATGCTGGCACACGAGATCAGCTTGACGTGTTCCTTTCTCCAAATCTTGAATTATCTGGTATTTCACTTCGTAGCTTAGGGAACGTCATATTTTCTTTGGCTTAGGGCGGCTGGGTCCAGGTAAGGAAAGGTTTCTCTCTGGTGGCGGTGGTCCGGCGGAAGCCATTTCACAGAACAATGGATGCACGTATACACGGTGTGGCCTGGAGGGATGAAACTGCCACGGTTAGGTCAAGTGTCGTCTTTCCTCCCTACCTCCCGCAGGTGGACACGTCTTATTACTTTAAACCAATTACAGCTAGCAACGGAGGGAGGTAAGGATGCATGGCCAATTACAGTCTGATACGTCATATGACGTCACTGATAATGCAACAGAGACATGCACTGTGCAACCTTACCGCGCGACTTGCCCAGGCGGGAGCAGGCGGGAGGGTCGAATCTAAAAATAGCGTCGAGCCAGACACTCTGCCCGTATATAGGAAGATGCACCGCGGAAAGTGAAAGTTCGGTTCTGGCGAGGCACCGCGTAAATGAGAAATCGCGGAAAGTGAAACCTCGTAAAGCGGGCTAATACTGTGTCTATATATATATATATATATATATATATATATATATATATATATATATATATATATATATATATATATATATATATATATATATATATATATATATATATATATATATATATATATATATATGACACCTTTGTTGATACACCTACCAATTTTCGTGGAAAAAAATTATAGCACTAAAAGGTAAATGCTCAGAATTATAAGTTATATGTAAATTAGGTGCAAATGAACAAGATCGTGGTACGTTAACACTTATTAGTAATTGTTATGTGTTGGGAAGGCTACCCCAGGTGGAATTAAGTATTGATTGTCCCCTTACAATACATGCTACCAAGCACAGCCCACACCCGCGTACCCTATCACGAATAGCGCCGCGCGCCAGCTGTACAACAACATCCCTTTTCGGTATGAGATAAAACCTCTTTATCAGTGCAAAATTTCCAAATAAGAGTTATGTATTTGTTAATTTTTAATTGTTGGTGGAATAGTTTAAACTGAAATAGGAAAATGTGTATCAACCATTGTAGAGTCACCTGCTAAAAAAGGAAAGGTATCTAGAGCCTGTGGGGAATGTGTCATATCGCTACTTCTTGTTTGATCAGAAATATGTTTTATACACTGTAAAGTCAACAGCAGAAGTTTGTCCCGAACCAACCTGCATGATATGAGGCAGGTGATCTGGTAATACAGTATGGGGAAGAGTTGACAGATATATTTTAAATGGCTATATATTTTACTTTAGCGGTTGGTCATATCCCTGTTTTGTTTTTGTTCGTTTTTTCTGTTAAGTACGGATGGCATGCTGGGGCTCAAGGCACAGCCAGACATGAAGGATAGAGAAGTCAAGACAGATAGTCGTGGGGGGAAAGATTGGAAAATAAAATTAATGAATTGAACGGTTCAGGATATGCCGACGATGTCCTCCTCCAAGCCCCTGACTACCTCAGCATGCAGGAAGCCCTTGATCTGGTCTCCAGAGAGTGCGATTCACTTGGTTTCCTTCTTTCAACTGCCAAAACAAAAGCCATGTGGCACGGTCGTGTTGTACCTCCACCCCTTCTCTTATCAGGAACACCCTTGGACTGGGTTAATGAGACAAAATACCTGGGTGTGTATGTAACTCGCGCACGTTGTCAGATCCCTGAAGTCCGCTATCTTCGAGACATATACTTTCGGCGTCTCGCTCCCCTCCCTACCATGTGCAGGGGTTCCCTTGGTGCCACCATCCCTGTACTTCTCACCATGTACAAGTCTTTTGTCCGTTCCTGTGTCGACTACGCCGCCCCTGCCCTCGTCAACATTAGTCGGACTGCTGTCAACCGTCTCGAAGTTATCCAGAGGAAAGCTGCTCGTATCATCCTTGGGGCTCCTCAGTGGACACGCTCTACTTCTCTATATACCGAACTTGGTCTTTCCCCCTTACAGGATCGTGTCCAGGAGTTTTACCTAAAAACTGCCGTTTCCATTCTACGGGATCCTAGGGGCAACTATGTCCAAACCAACTTGACTACTGCTGTTCGAGACCGACCTCCATCTAGAAGACAGTGGCGAGGGTCACTCATCCGAGCCCTTCAGGAACACGACCTCCTGCCTGATATTGTTGTCACCCCTGCTGTTGGTTCGTCTCCTTCTCCCTGGCTGGATTTTCAACCTGAAGTGATTGCCCTCGGTGGACCGCTCCCGAAATCCCAGGTGAACCCTGTTATTCTCTGCAAATACCACCTCTCCAGGATCGCCCACTGGTCCCCAGGTAGGGTCGTCCTCTACACTGATGGTTCTGTTGACCCCGCTACAGGTAGGGCCGGGGCTGGTGTCTACATCTCCCGTCCTGATGCCCCTGAGCCTATCAAACTGTCTCTCAGAGTTTCTGACGGGGCATCCTCCACTCAGGCTGAACTAATAGCCCTCCTTGCTGCCCTTCTCGCTGAGGAAGAAGCAGATGGTTTCTGCCCCTTGCTTGTCTGCTGCGATTCCAGGTCTGCTCTCGACGGGATCGCATTTGGATCTGGGGAAAATAAGGACCTCATCCTCCGAATACGAGGGTTAACATCCACACTTCAGGATGAAGGCCGTCCTGTGATATTCCTATGGATACCTAGTCATGTCGGTATCTTGGGGAATGAGGCAGCAGATGACCTTGCCAAGACTGGCTGCAACAAGGCCACACCTGACTACGTTGTTCCTCGAACACTCTTACAGATTAGGACCCAAATCCGCCGCAAACAGAGAGAAGCTCGGGAAGCAGCCATCCCCCTGGACTCCCCGCCCACATGGTACGATGTCCTCCGTAAACTTCCTGACTTCTCGTACGTCTACGGGAAAGGGTCGCGGAAGGGGGACGTGATTGCTGCCCGTATCATCATTGGGTATGACTTGCTTGGGAGATTGGTATCCCCACATCCCCTGAGCAACGCTCTTGTGCGTTATGCAGAAGACCCGACAGCCGCACCCTTATTCACTACCTCCTAAGATGTCCCCACACACAACGCTTCCGTGACGCCTGCTGGACCACCACTCCACGACCCCCTGACGGAGACACGATGATCCTCCCAATACTGGCCAGATATTTTGTAAATAATATTAATTATGTGTTAAAGGAACATCCTTCCTTCCTTAGGCTTTAGTAAGCCCCTTTATAATATTTATACTGTATATACTTTTCACACTTGCCAGATGATTCTGGTGTCATTGTACAGGGGTACCTAGTGACAGCACTAGGATCCCGCTTCCTCTATCAAGGAATAAACAATTGAAATTGAAAAAATTGAATTGAGTTTACAACCCTCACTCCGAAAAAGTTTGCCCTCACGGCATATTTGTTTGTGTATTTCTTATTATACAAGTTCATCCCATATTCTTAATATGATAACTCAGTTAGAAAATTCATGAAAATATTGTTTATTTTAACTTGCATCTTCAGGGGTGAGTACTCACCCCTGAAGATGTGAATTACACGAAAGCGCTTGGGAACTTCGTGTTTTCTTCTTTCCTTTCTGGTTATCAGTATATATATATATATATATATATATATATATATATATATATATATATATATATATATCTTGTGTCACAGAAAGACTTCTGGTTGAAGCTAGTTTGATTAAGGAATTGAAATCAATAAACCTTAGTGATGGTCAGTTCAAAACTGATGTTACATAAATTTATTTGTCAGTGGCCCAAGGTTAAAAATGCTTTAAAAACCTTTGATATAGTTGTATGATAGTTATTTTGTGGGTCCCTTATTTTTGACCTGACCTGACTCGTCAAGTCACCTCCCCGTTTTCTTAAGCTCCTCTACGTGTGTGTTGGTGTGGGGATTAGTGGATGACATCATTATGATCTGACCTCATGTTTTTAAGGTCACCCTGTATATTTAAGCCTCTCTCTGTCCATGTAATCCAGTTGCCTCTGAAGATGTCTTGAATAAAGACGAAAGCTACATACATACATACATACATACATACATACATACAGAGAGAGAGAGAAATCTCAATAGAGAAATATTTTGGAATTATTATTTATTATAGAGGGGGCTCAATAACTGAGTGGTTAATAATCAACAGTATATGTATTGTTAAATATGATGATATGGTTGATTTCAACATTAGTATTGTGGTGAGAACAGTAACTGTAGCAGTCGACGAAGTCGTCGTCAGTAGGAGTCGGACACACTCATCAGTCACTAGCTACACGGTATTGGGTGTGTTGTGTTGGCACTAGTGAACAGTAGCTCCTAATTCTTCATGTAGCGTTCAAGGTGAATACTGCGTTATAGCCACCCATGGACAGAGCTTCTTATAGTTAGTAAATATTGGAGTTTTTAGTAGGTAACGTGAGTTCATATATCCTAAACATAGTATACTTGATCGAATTTAAATCCCAGCAGACTCGTTTATGTTGACGGGTCAGCTGAGGCCGTGAGCTAAACACTTGTATATACCTGGTAGTTATTCAACCACACATGAGTTTATAATTATTTCATTGGTCAATTTAGAATAGTGGCCAGGTTTCGGTTGGTTAGGACGGTTAGCACCAGAAACGAAGGTCAGATTCGTACGAATCACAACAAGAACCTTATAGGAAAAACGTATTTTTTATGGAAAAATCAAAACTTGGTTACTATAATAAATTGACCGTTTCATTATTAAATTGTATGACAATTAAAAGTAAGGTGAATATTTAGTATCACACCGGTCTTTATTTCCATATTAACAATATGTATCTTATAATGTTTATATAATTCTGACATTTTTCTTATATGATATTTCCACTGGAAATTAAGGATAACCGATATATTAGTTTTTAAAGATTATTACTTTTGCTCAGTCACAAGTATCGTTATAATTTGTTTACTTATGGCAAAGGTGGTCTGACTCCCTGCTCACACATCGCTCCAGGCCTCTGTCTTCACTCTTAAAGCGTCTGGGGCATGATCAACGGGTTAGGTTAGGTTGGTAATGAAATTTGTTATTTATTCTAGAAGAGAAATCCAACTTTTTCCATTATGGGTGTGGGGGGGGGGGTAAAAAAAACCCACGTGATTCCCGGTGGAAATGAATATCAAATTTGCTCGAAACTCATCAAAATACGTAGGAAAAACCTATTTTTAATTTTGAAATAAAGACCGGTGTGATACTATAAATTGATCAAAAGTAATTACCTGTATATAGGACTAACCAATGAGTGAAATTGATTGAAAAATTATGAAAACACCGGATTTTCACTGTTATATTGTAGTGAATACTGTTGTAGTTTTTAGAAATATGTTTAAAATTAGATATTTTAAAAATAAATGTTACTTAACATTTGTTGGTATGAAAAACAGACCTAACCAAACAAACCTAACCTTACCTAACTTCCTTATGGGGGGAGGGGGGCTCTAGCCCCCGGTATATTAAACAGAAAGAACTTACGATAATATGGTGAAATTTGAGGCATTTTCTGGACATGAGATGATACAGCTGCATCGACGCTAAGCGCCCCAGGCAGTGGAGTGATTTACTGTGTTGGCGGGTTCCTCAATAAATGATTATCATATCAGAACTCATGGATGAAATAATGTAAGAAATTAAGATAAATTTTTACTTTCGGACATGAATTCTTCTTTACAACCCTTCTTGGCCAATTACAAAATCACTGATGCTTGTCCTTCTAAATTTACAGGGTAATTTACAGTGCGGGCACTCTACAGACTTGGGGAGAACACCTTGATTACGTAGAAATTCTATTGCTTTATCGTCTTTTTTTGTAAAACTCAGCAATAAACTTAAAATAATCGTAGGAGCACGATTGACATCCAAACTTGACCACGGCCATTGTCACTGGTCATTGAATTTTCAAGCAGTAGATTTTCAAGTTTTTACCCAGGCTGCTTTGAAAAATGCAATGTGATTGGTAAAAAAAATTTGTGGTGCTGATATCGATACAACATTGGTCATGACAGGATGACGTCAGTCAATATTGCGCCTGCGTGATCCACAACTAACTCGGTTTCACGGCGATTAATGGAATTAAACAGAGAAAGATTTGGCAGATGCCATCTCTGTTATTATAAGTTTCCGACGGTAATGTAATAGAAGAAAATGATCTTAAATTTAGACGTGTTTTTCGAATATGATAATAGATTTGGGGCAGGAATGTTGTGTGAACTTCTATAAAAATACCTCGATTTCAACACACTAATATTTTTCTGGTGTATATATTGGTGTGTTTTCTTCGAAGCTTGACTTTCATTTTCTTGGGGAAAAACATCATGTTTGAGGAAATTAAAAAATGACAGTTTAATTATTCCAAGAAAATGGAGGTGACAATTGAAGAAACACACCAATATCCAACATTTTTTTTTAGGGGGAGGGGAAACATTCAGTAATTATTAGTCAACACGTAATAGACTAACTTAACCTATCCTATCTTAGGCCTAGTGTCATGTTTCCTAGCTGGACCCTGGTGAATGTATCTTATGGCTTACCTTATGCAGGTGCATTAGGATGACGGTACAAATTGGCAGCATTAAACAGGAAGTGATGCAGGTACTGAGGCTTGGGAAACTCTCTGATAAATAATTATCTTACCAAGCACTTAGGGTAAGTGAGACTTCAGTCAAGATTCGTTTTAGGCCGAACATGGAACTTCATATTTCTGTTTACAGTACAGTATACTGAAATTTATAGGGAGAAGGAGGGAAAAGAAATAGAAAACTTTATTCTATTACATTTCCCTTGTAATACTAGATTTTTTAGTATTTTGGCTAATATGACCCCCCGCCCCCAACCCAAAAAAATAAATAAATAAACAAATTACCAAAAATATTGGTTATTCAAAGTTGGCAGGGCTGTGAAGGAGAGGGAAAATGTGAGGCAAAAGTACAGGAGAAAACCGGAGGTCGGGAAACCTGTGATATTTGATAGGGTCACACTGGATTACACCCTTCTCACATGTGTCTGGGCTCGAACCCTTGACATATTGGTGAGAGATATGCACATTATTGCTGTAGTGTACTTTAAACTAAAGTGAATGTATGCGATACTTCAAAACATATTTTTATATTTGGTAAAATTATCGTTTCGGTTTTCCACCTAATTGGAAGTTGAAATTAATCTTTCAAAACACATCAAAAACCATCAGAAAAACATAATTTCAACCACACCCAACCTAATCTAAACCTAACCTGCTGGATGACCAAAACAATAATACCTTATTTTCTTTTTAACTGGACATTTTGGAGGATTTTTTTTATAGGAATACAGTACAGTGGTCCCTCGGTTAACGATCGCCTCGGTTAACGAGATTTCGGTTAACGATTTACCTTCCATAAGATTCTTAACTTCGGTTAACGAGCAATCCCTCGATTAACGAGTTTTTTACGAGCCGACTTCAACATGTTTTCGCTTGCATTTGGCGGTCCACCAGCTGTAGTATTAGTCCGCCAATACAGTAATCGGTTTTAGGGCTTAAATGCCTTACTATTTTAGTAAATATCAAGAAGTTTATACTATTCAATAATTTTAAAAGTTTAATATTAACTTTTTTAGTCATTTTTACAATTATTGAACATAATTGAAGGCAAAGAAACTAGTTTCTGGCGTGCCATCCAGCCTGTTAACACACCAGACAGGCGTTAGCCTCTCTCTGTTTTCAGTGGAGGAAACATCTTGCTTGAGACTCTCTTCAACTAAACGCTTTTTTTCTGTGTTTCCAAGCCAATTATTGGTCATTTTGAAATATATTTTACATATTGACAATATATAATGCAGTGCAGTGTTGATTTAAAGAAAATAATCTTGAATTACACCAAAATTTTATGGGTGAAATGGCAACATGGGGTGACTTCTCTTCCATCCCAATGCCTTCTCTTCTCCCTTCTCCTCCACCCCCATTCTAATTCCCATCATCATCATCATCATCATCCAGGAGCCTTCTACATACACACCTCAAAGTAAGTGTACTTTTCTACATTTTTTGTTGAATTTAGGCAATTTTCGGTGACGTATTGTTATTATTATCCACTCTATATCTGTATTTTTCTGGGTAAATATACTGCATCAATATCAATAGTTTTAACTGTTTATATTTTTTTTTTGTACATAAAACTTGTGGAGCTTCTTTTCCCAACCAGCAATACTGATTGATGACATGGGCTGTAGGTGCACTGCACATCTCAGAAGACTTTAATTGTTAATATTTGATGTATATATTCTTCAGCGTTTCAGGCCCTCAAATACTCCTGTAGTTCAATGGTGGTTATTAATAGATATTTGGTCGTTTTACAGTACTGTACAGTATTTATTTATTTATTTTTTATTTTTTTAATGGACATGGTCATGTACTGTAACCTATGTGTCTTTAGTGTTTATTACTGCACTGTCTAACAACTAACATGATTAACAGTGATGGTCTATGATGGGTCGAGGGAGGCGTCTGGCCCTTGGCATCTTTGTCCTGCTGGTGGTCGACGTCATTTGGGTGGCTTCATCAGAATTGTCGGAGGTATTATTGTCTTACATCATGTTCAGTTTTTGTCTGATATAACATGAGAAAAATATAGTAAGTTACAGAGTTTACTTGCTGTATCAGTTCATTTCTACATTCAGAGTTGCCTGAAAAGCTCATGCTTGCATTACAGTATCTATATTGAAGACACTGAGTACCATACATCTCAACAGCCTTGAATATGAAAAACCGCACAACTGTTTTCTAAATGTTTGTTGAAGAGAGACTGGAAGTAACGGAGAGATTGAGTAGGGGTGGAAGAGGTCATGGAGGAACCTGTTGAAAAGATTAAGAGAGAGAATGAAGTCTGTTCCCTACCACATTCTGACCATTAGAATTTTACTAACCACAGTGACTTTGAGAGCAGAATGTCTGGAAAAAAGGATACAAGGAATACTAAATTTAGAAATAAGATGTGCAAATAAAAGGAGACTAACCAGGTTTCTTGAGATGGTGTGGACAGGTTGAGAAGACGGGGGAACAAGGATTAAAAAAAAAGAAGTAAATGGTAGGAGAGAAAGTGGAAGACCAAAAAGGAGATGAAAGAATGGGCTGGTGTATTTAATGGATAAAACGGGAATAGACAACAGGGAAGAAGCAGAGATCATGGTGTTGAGTAGTTTATGGGGATGGACCTGCCACTGAGGGGTGGTATTAGGTTTACTAAAGTAATGTGGGTAAAGCAGATGGAAATCTTTAGATTGTGTTGTGGAAGGGAAGCACTGTAGCAGAACACATCTTATGCACAAGTTATTAATGAATGATCAGCAGCAAATAATGGGAGGGTATCTGTTTCTCTTGAGCCTGAAACACTTTCTTTTAAGTATACGCTGTATGTAACATTAAGAGAAAATAAATATATAGTATAAGGGATGAAAAATAATAGACTTTTTTATATTTTTCAAATTTTATTTTCAGTATATCTTCAATGATACCGGCTTCAATAAACCTTTTTTCAGTACATACTTAAAGACCAGTATGTTTTCACTATATTTGCTGGGATTTATATTTTGGAGCCCCTGGAGACACCAATGTGCCCATAGAAACCACGATGAGAGTATTTACCAGGTAAGTTATTTATTGCAATTCATATTAGATTATTTTTTTGATATTTTTTATATGTGATATGGAAATAAATTTCTTTGAGGGTAATTGTGTTGCTCTTTTTTCTGTGTTAACTAGACTTGAGTCATGCCATACATACTGTAGAATATTTACTGATTACAAAAGGCATTGGTTATTCCTTTTATTTCCAAGGCCTCCAGACCACCATTTTATTTCATAACTTTGCCTTCTCTTTCCCCCTTATCCCCTTCACTTCCTCTTGTGCTGATTAGAATCATCTGGCATTAGCCAAATGAAATATTTAAGAGACAATGAAGGGGTTAATACAGTAAAACCTTTATCGTTTATCAATCAATACTTTACAAAATGGCTAGTTCATACATGCAGTTCAATGTGTGTTATGTTCACCAAAAATTAAATATTTTACACTTCCATCAATATTGCAAAATATAAAATTAAAAATATAAGAAAATGTGTTCAACAAAAAACAATAGCAAAGCAAGTAGTGATGTACAGTATGTTCATTGTACAGCCCATTCTTCCTGCATCACCTGAAGAGGCACTGGGAGGGAGTGTACAGTATATTAATATGAAGTGAAAAATGTATTGTCAAAGCACTTGGTCAGTAATGTGTCCAAATTTAAGCTTTCTAGCTCAAAAATTTCCATAAATAACATCCAGACAACATTAAGTGTTGAGTTGAGTATGCTTCTAATATTCTCTTGCTATTACAGGAAGTGGATTCAATGGAGGATGAAGATTTACCGCTGTCAGATGACAGACGTTTGGTATGTTGAATTGTACTTGCCATTTGTAGTTGTGATGTAATACAGTATTATGTTGATGTAATTGTGAATGGGTGCTTGTAGTACTTAATTGTATTATTAACTCCTTCACTTCAGTGTTCAAATTATGCAAAGTATAAATAGATTTTGCGCCTTAATCCTTACAATAATTTTGTGTCATTTATATTAAGGTGATACAGCAATTATTAAAGCATAATATTTCATAGCTAAATAGAGTAATTTCTTATTGCTGGCTTTGTTCCAACAATTTCAGAAAGAGACTCAATTATAGCCTCAAATCTGGTGTAAAAGCATGTTGTTGATAAGCCTCCAAACTCCTCATTGCTCATGTCCCTCATTGTTATCTCTACCATTAGCATTGGGGAGTTCTGATGGTCAGTCGTCATTGTTATTGTCACTGCTGTCGATACCTTTCTTTTCTATATCTCTAAATTAGGTGTAAATTAATGTAAAAATAACAGTAAATTTATTGTGTGGCAGTTGTGGTAAGACTGGTGGAGGAGTGTGGTGTTTTTTTTATGAGGGAAAGACAATTGTTTGAAGACCGGGTTGGGCAAAGTGTTTTATAACCATTTTCCACGCTTGTGTGGATTAGCCGTGATTATCTGATGGCAACTTTCCATTCTACAGTCTTTTGCATTCCCTCTTGTCGGGTTCTTAACTCTTAATGTCATTTCTTACAACCTCTCCCCATGTCATTCTTGGCTCTTCTCCCCCCACATTTAGACTCATACACCTCTTGACCTAATTAGTGTGATTCATTCTCCAAAATTCCAAACCATCTCAGCATACTGCTACACAGAATTTTGCCAATAGAACTCAATACCAGCCACCCTCTTACCTCTGAAAAGGATTTTTTGTCTTTCAGTGCCACATTGCATATCCACCTCACTAGTCTCATTTAACTTGATGGATAAATGTATTGCAACTGCATAGGTTGTAGTAGAGTGGTGTGGTCCAAAATTGTTTGGGTACACCTGTTTAAAATTTGTATGACAGGAGAAATTATGTATTAATGAATATATGTAGCACATAGTGAAAAGTGTTCACTTACTTAAAAATTTCTTCTATACAAAAGTCTATTCAGTATACAGACTGCATATAGTGAGGAATATCTATACTTAAACACTTGTCAAAAGGTTACTTTTAACAAGTTTTATGAACAATCTGAAACCCAGAGAATACATTAATTCTTTAGAAGTTGCTATTTTGCATGACCTGGCATTTTCTGAGAACGCAGCTACTGCACTGTGTGGAGTTTTACTGTGCTCAGAAACCTTCACCTAAGTCATTGATGAGGACCTCAGATGACTACGTACCTGAGGCTGATTACCCCCATTTTGTTATTTATTTTTTTCCCAAGTTTTTATCCATTTTATTATTATTATTTTTTACAGGGATTAGCCCACCCGGGCACAGGTCACTGACCCACATCGGGGCCTGGGGGCGAAAATGTCAGGAAATCTTAATCAAATTTATGGAAAATATTTTTTACTGTTTTACCAATAATTATCAGGGTTTATACTGATTATTGTAATGTATATTATAGAAGTATTTATTTTTATTACTCTTCTTATTAATATGAAGCTCTTGCAGACGAGAGACAGGCGCACCCCTCCACCTGTGCCCATCTTCACTTTGGACCAGCTGGCATCTAGTGTTGCGAGAGACAGTGATGCGAATGCTCAACTAACACATTTGGTCCTGTGGCACTATTTACCCATTCAACAAGCTAGAACGATTTATAACAACAATGATGAAAAGGTGTCTCTAAATTATTTTTGCCAGTCATATGTACAGAAGTTGTTAGCATTCAAAGATATGAAGTTAAGAATGCATTATAGGAAGAAAATTTTGTTGAAGAATTGGAAAATAAATTGGCATTCAACTCAAAAATTAAAACAAATATTTATTGGGGTTTATGATGATAGAAATATGAAAAATGAGGGAGTGAATTTAGAACTTAAATGAGAATAAATTGTGTGTGAAATGTAAAATCTACTTTTGGGGGAGGATTAGTAGTTGTGTGTGTGATCTGTTGTATCAGGTCATTAGGGTAAAGTACAATGATGAAATTTTTAATAAAATTTTTAGTTATAGATTTTGTTGAAAATAATAATGTGTGAAAGAAATTCACCATTGTTGTAATGTTCTGTGAGAGAGAAGTTGTACTGAAGATAGAATTATATATGTTGAATGTGTGTTTAACAGTTTTGATAATAAGAAAGTATAAGTTAAAGGTATATTACTGTAAGGAATGACATTTTTAGGATATTTAATGAAGGGGAAATTCGGAACTGAAAAGGTCCGCTCCAGTCTATTATATTGTTATGTGTACTTTACATAAAATGGATAAAAACTTTGATTTTTTCTTTTTGTTTGAGATGGTTTTGTCATAAAAATTTACATTTGAGAGAGATCTGTATAACAGTATTCTCAACCTCTTGGTGCTTGGCATAACATGAACAGTGGAGATTATTGTTAATCCACTTGAATTACGATACCTGTAGTATTTAACCAAGTCATTAGTGCTAATTCAGCATATGGGCCCAGTTAGAGCTGAGGCCAAAGTGGTTAAGACCCAGACACTGAGTCAGAGACAATTTAATTTTTTTATGCCAAGATAATGGCTGCCAGACTGATATTAGATATTTAGAAATGACAGTTGATCAACTGTTCAGTGTTTTCCGGGTGTTTTTGTATGTTTGTAAGCATAATTCCTCTGACCCTTGCTTCATGCGAGGATTACATTCTGCAAAAACTTCGCCTGACTTGAAATCACAAAGTGAATTCTTAATCTTATGGGGATGTGTTCTACAACCATTTATGGAGCCCCTCTACCTTAATTCTGGCACTTTTTCATAACGACAATAAAAGACAACAGTAATGCTATAAAAGTTGAGGAAAAATCATTATAATACTCTAAGGTGGCCTAGAAATAATTAAAATGCAATAAACTATAAACTAAGAAAAGCGAATTGTGTGTGTGAGTGGGAGAGAGAGAGAATGAACGAACGAACTTGGGAGGCAGTGGGCTGTAGCTATGTTGCTGACTCGCCACTCTAATGTGGCTTTGAAAAAAATAAAAATAAATAGTATAAAGCTATAAAATAAGAAAACTTAAGAGCATGGGTGTGTATGTGTGGGAAGTTAATGTTTGTATGGATTCGGTAGGCAGGAGGCTTTAACCGAGTCAGTGGCTTGTCACCCAGACCGTGCTCCCTCCCCTTGGTGTGATGTCATGGCATACAGATGCACACACACAAACACACGAAAGATACACCTGGTTGACTGCCTTGCTGAACTGATATGATATGAATCCATTTCATTGTTTATCATACATCATACAGTATTACGGTCAACCTTTCGCTGAAGTGAGGTAACTCTTACTACCCTAGCCCTGATAAACCAACTGACTGATCTCTCCGAACAGACCTGACAATGAATAAATAAATTTGTGGTCTTCAAAGGTGTTGAGCAAAAATCTGCATCATTGTTTGAGACAGACCTAAGCACCTGGGGATACCTGAAAAAAGCCTCAAGACTTTGGCTTGTTGTTCATTTTTACATGGCTTCTGTTTGTTCAGTGTTTTTGAAGAATACCTTGTATAACTATAGTACTGTATGTACTGTGTAAATTAAGGGTCAACTGTGAGTGCCTTGAGATAAATGTGCAGTATTTTTCAGGTGCCTCCAAGAGTGCCCTGGCACTCACTAGGCTGGTTCGGCCTTTGTATCTGTATTTTACTTACTAAATACTGTTTTAATTTCAATGAAACATAGTTTATCACTGAAAAAAAAATGAAACGGTATTATTCTGTCTTTTTTTACCTATATTCGTACTGTACAGAGTACACTGTAGTGTGCTAATAAACCCCTTGTGTTTAGGGGCTCTCTGCTGAATCAAATTATTTGGCATTAACCAAATAAAACATTAAAAGAGTGGCATCCCCATAGTGAAGGGGTTAACTTGGGGCTGAAATATTGAACACTTAATAATTTATCACATTTTTTCAAAGCCATAATTTTTGTGGTTCCTACACCATGGTCACAGAGTTTAAGTGTTGATTCAGTACCATCACTTTTGCATTTGTTAGGAAACATTATAATGGCAGCATAACTGATTATAATCTGCTGTGCATTATGAGTGATGAAAAAGAAATGTGAAGAGCACAAGTGCACATGATTTGGGAAAATTTTTTATATTGAATGTACAGTACGCCCGAATAATTCGTTAATTTTTATTTCGCAGTCATCTATTATTCGCATGATGACACCCTGGATGTACCCAAGAATGTCTGCGGGTATTTTTAAAGTTGCCGTCATTTTCACTGCTGGGACAAGGAGCATTCGTTCTAGAGACAGTAATTTACTTTACCTGTATTGTGTATGTGTGTAGACACACACATATATATATGCAATACAGGTAAAAAAAAATTGTCCTGAGGGCAAACACATTCATTTCTTTGTACACAAGTGAAAATGTACTCAACCTTTCGATTGTAATTATTGAAAAACCTGCTTTCCACTGTTGCAGCTAAAGCCAATGGTAGACTTGGCTAATACAGAGTATCTTTACCTTTATAAATAAGGATATATTTGTACCACTTTATTTGACACGAGTCAGACCTATCATTGACTATGAGTTTAATACTGGTCACTTTTTCTAGCCAAATATAATGAATTACTCCCCCCCAAAATGCAGCATGTGCAATAAATCTAGTCCCAGAGTTAGCATACAGGGCATTTGTCATATGAGGACAGATGCAAATCCTTGGGCCCATAGACATTACAAGACAGAGGGAAATTGGACATAGGATTGAGGTTTACTAGCTACTGCATAAATACTAAAACATTCACTTCTCAAAAATTTTGAAATGCAATATTGTACCAATTACTGTACTCTCAAGAGGCCACAGCTTCGTGTTAGCTAAACCTGATCATTGGAGAACCACTATGAAAGGAAACTGATTAGTTAAAAGGACCATAAATCCCTGGATTTTTTTGTATTGCCTCCCTCCCCTCCCCAAAGTGTTCTCATATGAAGCGTGTCAGTTCTTTTTAATGGATAACAAGGTATGACCACAGTATAGTCGAGGTTAACATAAATAATTTAGTCTTGAGTTGGCCATTGCTGTATGAAGAAGTTATGATATTTTCAGAGGGACATACCGGTAATTGTATTGTAGTTTCATGATTATTTCAAAATGTTCAGAGCCCTAACA